AAGACATCAAAGTGATTCCGCAACTTCGAGGAAAATAGCGTACTTTTCATATATGAAAAATGATCTGGGCGCGCAAGGCATCTCGGTTGAAAATGGGTCTTTAAATAACAAAAATCAATTGAGCGTCACCGGTCGATCGACGGAAGAAAAGGAAAATAAAAATTGACAGTGGCTGTAAAGAAAATATAGCTCTTGTATCTGTGTGATTTTACATAGTGAAGCACAGCTTTCGCAGACGAACGGTAAGAGTCTGGTATGAAAAAGGGAGAGAAAAAACCACTACTGCGGATGCTGAAACAAGAAAAATAAACTGTTTCTGAAACAAAACCTCGTACTTCCGTCCCCTCTAAGTCTGAATACATCAGCAGAAACATAACGAAAATATGTTTCCTACAAGTAACCTCGTATTTCCGTCGACGTTCTGCCTTATTACGGTAACGAAAAGAAGAGGAAAACGTGTTTTTGAAACGTAACCTTGTATTTCCGTGAACGTTTCGGTCTGACGGAAATATAAATAATTCCTGTTTCCGGAGCGTTACCTCGTGTTTCCGCACATGTAAACATGAAGTTACATATGCGGAAATATTTGTTTCCTTCAACAGACACCTGACGAAAACATGTAAAAAAGTGGATCAGATCCGTTGTTACGGCAGCAACGGAAACACGAGTAAACGTCACCAAACCGTCAGCGGAAACACGTGTTACCCATCGTGTTTCCACAACGGTTTCACAAATTTATTTCACGTTTCCGTTAACGGATTCTTGATATTTCGTCCTGAGTTAGGATCGAGATTGTTAAACTACAAAACAGGAAGTGCTGCAAGCGAGCTTATGGTCTAAACTATCGAACGTGGTGGCTCAAATTTTTCGCGACGTTTATTTCCTTGCACAAGACAAGCTTCTTTTCACTATGGACATTGCATCTCTCTATACTGTCATTCCTAGTTGCAAAGGTCTTCTGGCCCTCAAATTTTTTTTTTTTTTTTCATCTACACACTTTTAAGGAACCTAAATCTGAAACACTACTTCACTCAACTGTACTAGTGCTCACACTCGATTTTTTTTTCATTCGGGGAAACCTTTTGCAGACAAACCTATGGCGTAACCATGGGTTTTAAAAAAGGGACCTGGCTCTGCCAATCTTTCTGCAAGTTTTGTCGAACACCAATTTTTCAGCCGTTGTAGTGAGCAAGAGACTGCTCGTTTCGATGGCCAGAAATCAGTAGACATGATATGTCGATTTGGGACGCCAACATTGGACAACAGAGTTATGGCCATCGCTCTGATGGTGTGTTTTGTGTATATTTTGGACAGCCCAACCGCTTTGCTGATTTTTTTCATCATTTTTGCCAACGTTTAGACGCCTAATGGCCGTTGCTCGAACTACACGTCTTCTTCAGGGCTGAAATTTGCCTTCGGTTACCGGAAAAACGCATTGCATTTCGGGTTTATCTTTTCAAGGTACAGCTTTAGAGCCTTGTAGCTTTCGTATTGGTCTACAGTTTCGTACATTCTAGCTTCCTATTACCGGGATGATTCTTCGAAGCTTTATCATGGGCAATGGCTGCGAATTTTCGCCCGGCTGCCTCGACGCCAAAATTGACGCTTTTGGCTGTTAGATCTCTCTGTCCCCCGCGGCCTCTCCGGAAAAAGGAAAAGAACGATATGAAACCACACATTTTCTCAAAAGCGAGAGCGGGGAGGAAAGCGAAAAAACACCACTAGTTTATAGCTGTTTGAAATGCTCTTCTTCAATGGCAGGTTTGTGAGTTACGTTTTCCTTTCCGCTTCGTTTTAAATTGACAAGTTGCGCGTTTAATATTTGGTTTGACCGCAAAAGTCTCGGCTCACTTGCTAGTTGGAGCCCTTTGTTGTAGGGAGACGAGTTGAGATACCTATCAATTCCGTGTCTAAATTCAAGCAAGGTGGATTTACCGTATAACTCCCCTTTCTGAGTTCGTGCTTCGGCATAAAATCGCCTTTGGTTGTAGTCCAGCTGACCAATCGTCTGTCTTCGAGCGGTGTTTGTTTAGTTTTCTCTGAGCACCATGCTGAAATTGAACGCGTGAATGGCTCAAAATAATTGATCTCTGCTACTTTCTTTATTTTGTACAGTAAAAGAACAGACAACTGAGGATTATAGGAAAGAAATTTTGTATCACTCACAAGTACAGTTTTGCCGGAAGCATTTAAACAGCTTCCCACGCCGGAAAAACTTTACAATGAACACTTGTACAGAATTTCATTATCGGTAAATCGCTGAAATACACTCTTTAAAATTGCTGCTATTTATTACTCACCTCAAGCAAAAGAAACTGACGTCAGCGTACAACCCACGGGCAAATGGATCGAGAATATAGGCTAATCAGAGCGCGCGCTTTTGCAGAGCTATGTTATAAGCGTACCAGTAGCTTTCCATGTTCAAATCATCTTGAGCAAGATCATTTGTTTGTCGCGACTGCCTCCATGCCACTGACGAAGGTTAATGAAATAATTACGTTGACAAAGAATATCGGTTTCAAAACAGAATGGTGGTTAAGCTTAACGTATTTACCCTTCAATCTGGCGAAGGTGGTATGGAGGGAACTTGCAATGAGGCAAAACCTTCATAAACCTCTTTTCGACAAGAATTTTCCTTAAAAATGTAATTCCTGTCCCGGTGCTATTGAATTTTCATATTGTCTGATGTTTACTGTTGCACTATAATTCTATTCTCTTGGAATATTACCAATACAAAAAAATTTACTATTACTCAACTGAAGATTAACTATTTGATTATGGAAATCTATAGTTTAATTAGCTGGTAAGCCTTAACACTACATTGTCCTTATTCGTGCTTTTCAACTTAAGAGTTAGGAATCTAGCTGTGTCCCCCGTCACTGAACCAGGATGTACCCCATGGCTTTGATGTGCTTTTCTCCATTATCAGGCTGGTGTGTTGCCTCGTTTCCACAAGTATTGGAGTCATCATGCAGACCTCCTGTGCCAAAACCAATCCTGGAGTCACAAGAAGAGCAGTCGTTCTGCTGGTTAGCAGTGATGCCGATTCTTGCTTTGGATTGACGAAGTTGGCCTCCCACTGCATTGAATCCTTCCTTGTTGCAGTGCGGCTGCAACGATGCCTGTGAGCCAATCAATACCTCCCAATTTTTACGACCAAGTAAGGTGGCGCGGTATTCTCCATCAGCGATGAGAGAGTGGAGAGAGTCGGCATGCTTGTTGATGACAATGAATCTGAGGTAATTGCCGATCTTCATGCCGAGACAGATGTTGGAGAAGGATGTGTCCCAGTAAGTCGATAACTTTGTCTCTTGAAAGTCAAAGCCAGTCTTCCCTCCTAGAAGGTTGTAAGAACTTCTGTTCCTCCAAAATTGGTAAACGTAATGGAAAGTACTCTGAAATTTATATCAAATAATAACTTTTTGTTAATTCTTAAGTAATGGAATAACAGTAATAGCCTGTTTCAGGTTTCTATTCAGTGAAGACAGCCGAGCAAAGCTTGACCTTTTTCAGGAAAACATTTTGCCTATCCCCTTTCTCGCATCTTTGCATTGACCTTTATCCACAATAAGTTTCTTAGCCAATAAATTCATACCTTATTACCATTGATCATCATGACCGGCGTCCATCCTCCATCTCCGCATCCAAAGTCTCCCAGGTGACAAAAAACAGAAATTGGCTTTGAGTCTAAGTAAAGGGCAACCTCACCACTCTTTTTGGATCTATTGAATAAAATATCTCTTTAATAGGAAAGATGTAGCTGAAATTTGATGAAGGCCATGGCTTCTGCGTATTCAGTAAATGATACAAAGTACTTTCTGATTCCTTTCAAACGAGACTCTAGTGTGGAAGATTATTTTATTATCAAGGTTATTATTCTCAGTATTATTCTCAGAATTATTAGTACTATTACTTTCATGTTTTCCCTCTATAGTTCTCTTCGGCTTTGTTTTCGTCTTTAAATTAATGAATTACTGACTTACACATTCCGGTCGAAAATTTCCTTACACGTGGAGGTTGGAAAAAAAAGAAGGTATATCAACAGCAACAAAGCCTTTAGGAAGGAAAAAGAACGGGAGTGATGTAAAAACAATTTTTTCAAGGGGAAAATTTGTATGCAGAAGAGAAATATATAACGTTCAAATCCAAGTTAAATAGTGTCACTGGTCGCCGATTAGAGGGAAGAATAGTCCCTTAGTACGAAAGTTATCGACTTCATTCATTTTTGATAGCTTTGAAATTCTTCATGGAGCGATTCCAATCGAGGACCAGAAGTAATCCACAGTTGTATTGGTTTCACTTTAGTACGCTTTGTGATTGTTCCAGATACTCACCATGCAAAACAGATCAAAGCTATCCCGACTTGGTTCCTCGTGTTTTCGTGGTGTCGGTGGGTGTCCAATGCGCATGATGAAACTGGAAGTAACGGAGCCGCGAATTTAAGATGCATCCAAACCACTCACGGCTTCGCCGTTCGTTCTCACACTACTTGAAGTTTCAAATGCACAGCAGAAGGCTGTTATTTACCCAAAGTAGCGTTTACAAACCCTTCAAGCTTCTTTTTAATTTGCTTTCTCAGTACTTCCTAACAAGGCTTTTATCGAATTTTTCCTTATTTATTATTCTTATTTTATGTTATTGTTTTGTTTTTTGTTTTTTTGTTTTTTCTCTCTATCAGTGTACATAAAAGAACGTCTCATTACTGATGTGTAAACAGAAACATCTCAAGAAACTAAGAAATACCGCAGGAAAAATATTACCCGAACGGCAGATATTTCCATCTCTGTAGTATCCTGGCTTGCATGTACAGTTGTACGATCCCTTGGTATTGTTGCACACTGCATCAGCACTACAGGTTTGTGTCCCTGAAGCACATTCGTTGATATCTGAATAAAGCACTTCATTAACAAGAATTTCATCACTTCAGTTAACTTTAAAACTAACGCAGATTTAAAAGCAGAATATGAACAAATGGAGACCCACGATGAATCCGATGTCATAAGAGTTTTCTAATTTTGCAGCAGCTCTCTTTGCAATGTAAGAGCACCATCAAGCCAATTAACGGGTTGGGAAATGATTCTTCTGCGCCATTATAGCCGTTACACTGACCTAAACTTTTACAGGTACTTTCATAGTACCCATGATTCCTATTCTATTCAAACCTTTTGTACGCCTTTCAAATTCACTATGTTTATATATATCTTTTAAGAATACAAATTCGTCGGTACTTTTGCTCGATGGTAACAATAGGAAACACTTACATTTACAACCATTTAGATAACATTATACTCTAAAACTAGGCTGTGTTTTACCAATGCAAGTCCGTCCATCTCCTGTAAAAATTCTGGTTTGCATCTGCAGCGATACCATCTCTTGGTATTGTTGCACACAGCATCTGCACTACAGCTAGATTTTCCGTCAGCGCACTCGATTCTATCTGTAAGATTCAAGGAAACTGACTCATAAAAGAAATTTCCCAAGCAAATGGGCTTAAAATGGTTTTTCGTTATTGTTTATTTCCTTTTTCGTCCAAAAAGCTAATCACGTTTACCTTTGCAAGTTCGTCCATCTCTAGAATATCCAGGTTTACATGAACAGTTGTAGGAACCCTTGCTATTATTGCAAACAGCATTCTCACTGCAGTCTTGGGTTCCTACAACACATTCATCGATATCTGAAAAGAGTCTTCACTAATTACTGCGTTATCACTGTAGTCAATTTTAATACTGAAACTGCAGATTTAAAAATAAAATGTGAACAATAAATTGAGACCTAAGTTGGATCTAATTTAGTGGCAGCTCTCTTTACCATACAAGAGAGCCATCAAGCCACTTTGGAGCTGATTATTGCAACAGATTACAATACGCGGGTCCTTAACTTTGACAGGTACCTTTAGAAGATGCATATAAAACCTCATTATCCTCTCCTGCAAATGTTCCGTTCGTCGTTCAAACTCCCTACTTTTATATAACTCATTGAAAAATAACTTTTCCCTGGTTGTACCAATAGGAAACAATGAATATTGGCATTTATAAGTATTTAGTTAATTAACATTATACTCTGAAACTAGGCTCTGTTTTACCTTTGCAAGTCCTTTCATCTCCAGTAAATCCTGGTTTGCATTTGCAGCGATTCGGTCCCTTGGTATTGTTGAACACAGCGTCAGCAGTACCGTTGGATGTTCCGTTACTGCACTCGTCTACATCTGTGAAATTAAAAGCAGCCGACTGAACAAGAAATTTCCTAAGCATATGGGTTCAAAATGGTTTTTCCTTAATTTTATTCCTTTTTTTAGTCATAGAAAATTAGTTACGTTTACCTTTGCATGTCCATCCATCTCCAGAATATCCAGGTTTACATGAACTGTTATAGGAACCTTTGGTATTGTTGCAAACGGCATTTTCACTGCATTCTTGAGTTCCTGCAGGACACTCATCGATATCTGAAAAAGATACTTCCTTAATTAGATTATCATCATTGCAGTTGTTAAAATAGAATGTGAAAAAAAAAATTAGAGAACTGATAGCCTTGCAATCTTGGAGCAGTTCTCCAACCAATCCAGTTGCGAACTAACTATTGTCGAGTTATCATAAAATTATATAGACCTCTGAGCCCGCTCGAGCCTACAGCCGACTTGCAAAATTTTTAAATAATCACATAAAGAGGTTAACCTTTTTTACAGCTTGGTCCCTTGTATCCAGTGGTACACAAACAGCGATATCCTTTGTCGGTAAAAACCGCTTTGACAAGTCGCGTTGTTATCGCAAGGGTTATCAACACAAGCGCTCTGACGCCAAAGGGAGAAAAAATATTAGCAATCTCAATATCATACGTCGAAATATAGTAATGTAGGTTGGGCTGATCAGTCATCTTCAAATTTTTGAATTAGAGCAATCAATGAAAATAGGAAAGAAAATAATGCTAGACATAAAAAACTATTTACAGTGATTTTAGAACTTAAGCTATTATTTCGACACTTATGACCGTAAAAAAGTTTTTCATCATTGAAAATAAGTATTTGCTAATTATCCAACACCTACCTCAGCTGCATGATAAAAATAATGGTCTTTCTTCTTCAGTTTACGTTCGTGTCCTTCGTGAGTAACATTAATCAATTCACAGTTGTACCCTCCATTTCCACCAACTCGTTTATCAAGATTAATGCTGACACAGTCTGGCTCCATATAACACATGTTCTCACAGAACTTCATTGTCATGACTTCAACGATGCGGATCACATGGTTTATAAGATGCCTGCCATCAAGTGCCTTTTCAGGCGTAAATTCTAACTGTCGGCATTGGTCGGCATCAGAAAAGTCTTAGAAATTTAAAACAAATTATAAGAAATGGAAAACAATGGTAATAGAAATTAACTTAAAAGATGTGATTAAAATCATAGTACGAATAATAATAATAATAATGATAATAATAATAATAAGAAGAAGAACTTTTAAGATCATAACATGAACAGTAAAACTACAAAAGAAACTTTTGAAAGGTTGCACATTATAACAACATTATATAAGCATTAAGTTTATTCCCACTTATGAATATCAATTTGAAGGATATTTTTAAAACATTGTAGGAAATTTAAATATCGAGTTCCGTATATTAGAAGGTTAATCGATTTATTTAGAGAATTTAGTTTATAAGTTTTAAAGCAATCTTATTCGCAGAGCGTGACTTAGTTGTTGTTATGTATATTAATAATAGATTGTAAATTAGCGACGTTATATTAGTATTAGTTGTATCTTAAATAAATTTTCATGTTAGCAAATAGGTTTTTATATTTCTTTTAAATGTTACGATGTGTAGTTTCATAGATTACGCTGGGCGCCCTACTTCCTGGCATGCTGAAGTTCGATAAACTACGTCATTATAATAATGATAATAATAATGGTAATAGTTAGGTTTACGAGGTTTCATAATTGTTGACAGTTTTAATCGTCTAAATATTTAAGTACCCCAAGTTATTTTAATTCATCCCTCCATTTGCGTTCTTTTTCGGACTATTTCTCAGTAGCAATTATTTTCACTGTTATCTGCAGAAAACCTGCAGATGGCAATTAATTTTCATAGTAAATGCAAGTATTTGAGTAAGAAATTTACATTTTGAAATTTCCCAAAAATAAAGAGAGGTAGATTTTCCTAGTCAAGACGCTAGTTCTTAGTTTTAATTAGAAAAGAGGACTGAATCGTTAAAGAAAACCGAGAATGATCCGGTTTAATAAACAAATGACTTTTGCAAAGAACCTGTATTACAGGAGAGCTTTTCCGTATGACATCTTGTTCTTCAGCCGATTAAATTACTTTTAAAAAGCTCCATGATTACCATGACCGGTAAATTTGCCGATATTTCCTGACTGTGGAAGTTATTTGTTTAGAAAAAGTTGACTAAAAATTTAACAAATATCTGACTTTACCACCACAATAACTACTGCAGCAGACACAAACAAGAAGAGCGGAGTCAAAAACTAGTAAACTCCTTCATTACGGTAAACTGAACACATGATTAAAGAGGTGGATAATCAGATAGGTAGAAAACATTACAACAAACAAACTTGAATGACGAGCTTGATAACAAAAAAATGGTCTAGAGAAAAGAAAAGATCTTTTGCAACTCGCTGCTTAAGAGATGCAAAAAAAAAATTCTCAGACAAACTATCTGCCCAATCATCATCCGTTCACCCAGAGTTTCTTGATTAGGCAGTTTAAACAATTTTTAAAAGAAGTTGAGTAATAGTAATCCTTAAACGACTTTCTTTGGTGAAGAAACAGATAACAAAACATCCTTTAAAGTGCACCTATATCCAAAAACTTTTGTCGCTTAACGAAATAAGCTTTTTTTTTTGGAGTATTTCTCAG